CACTACGGTATACGTGTTAAATAAATGCATAAATTTCAAATCGACCACTATTGAAACCATCAATATTTTGGTTGATGTGAATATCAATTTCCCCGCTACGACGCAAACTGTAGAAGCCGTCAAGTTCTACGTTTTACGTCATTTGAAACAACAAAGTGTGTACAGTATTTATATATATAAACATATATATGTATAGGTACCTACGTGTATCAATATAATATACGTTACTATGCCTTAAATGTAGAAACTTTTCGTATTGTAATTCTGTTGTCATAACGCGGACCACGATACGCATTAACAATTTGTTATTGGGTTTTAAAACCGAACATAATATTACTATATGGTGCACATATTATAAATATATATATATATATATATATATATATATTTATATGTATAAATATAATATGATTGGTTATGAACGGGTTTCCGCTGGACTAGAATAATGATTTTTTTTTTTTATTTCTCTAAAAGATAAATATATTACATAAACATAATATATATTAATACCTCTATATTATTTATTAAACCAGTAATTATTATACAAATAGTTCGTACAAATGTACAATATCATAATACTTTAATTAAATATACACAGAATTGTAGCCAGTTATAGATGTAGATTAGTTTGTATATATACATTACACAGTTCATATAATATATGATCATGCTTATAAGTTGTAATAATTAGTTAATTCGATTCAATGTCATTACGACATTACTAAAGTTTAATCAACCGGCTACCGTTACTTATCGACTTCGCTTCCTGCTGTAAATTTGATACTATTTCTTCGAAATAATTGTATTATCGATAGTTTGTAAAAGTATGTTCAAAACAATAATGGTGTATATTTCTAAAATATTTTTTTTTCATAAAATATGTTTTTTACAGGGTGCAGTTATGGTATAATCAATACTCTTTAGTGTAGAGAATATTTATACCTATTTTCATAATTATAAATAGGCATTTTTATATACTGTATAGTATACAGTATATTTAAAGCGTAGGCTGTGGTTTCTTACAGAAAAGTTGATAATTTATATAATATATTAGTTATAATTATATTACTATACTACACTATATAGCAATAGTTTTTGAAAGTTTTTTTCTATTTTTATTTTATTCATATAAAAACAATTAAATCAAGTTGTATTAAAATTTGTTTCGTAACATATACTTACGCACGAGAAGAAATCTTCTCAAGTTCTTTGGATGATGAAATATCATTTAAGGTGAGTTAAGGATTTTTAAATACAAAATATACCATAAAAGTATAAAACTGTAACGTGAAAAAATTATAAAACGTATCATTATAATGATTGTAAATATTCATTTAATTAAAATTGGAACCGCGGATGGATGCGCTTTAAATTTTATACGGTGAAAATTTTATCAAAATAGCTACGCAATCTGAGATCCCATTTTCTAAATTAATAATAGTTATAATACGTATGAATAATTTTAACATCTCTAAATATAAACAAATTGAGATATACCTATAATAACTAACAAAGATAAACGTCAGACAAGGTTATTTTTTTTTTATGATTATTATTATAAATGTTTATTTTATTTTTAGAATTTTGTGTGGCCATTTTGAATTTTAAAACTGTCATAATAAAAGTATACATTAAAATATATAAAATAATATTACATACAGACGTCTTGGATTTATGTCTGTATTGATTCTATAAACATATGAGAAAATTTTGTATTCTTAAAATTATTTTTGAAATTTGCACTTAACACTTATATTATAGTTTAAAATAAAATGATAAATATTATTCAATTTAAAATTTTACGTGCAAACTATTTTTTGCGCGAATGTAAAAGTGAAATTAAAAACAATGATCGTATTTGGTCTTATGATACACAAGAATATAAATAATAAAAACTTAAAAAACTATATTATAAACCAATGTAGTCAAGTTGTGGTAATATTTTACCCGTTTTCTTCTATTTATCATATTATCTATGTGTATTTTAATATCTGTGAAATTCAATAGAACGTTAACCCATACAGTATACAATATACGTACAAACCTACACCTGTTACAGGGACGCCGGCAGAATATTGGTTTGGTGTCTGGGCGAGGTGCAAATATTAATTTTAACCTTACCCAGTTAGGTATACGTACTTACTAATAGATATAACTCTCTCCCCCCAACAACACGTATTGTTATTTCATAGATTTTACATCGAAATCACAGTATTAAGAGAGTTAACTTCTGCTGTGTAGTGGTTATATTGTAATGGCTAAGAAAATATTTATTTGTTTTTTCGTGTAATAACTCTCATTATACACCTGCAATTACGACTAAATATAGCAACCATTCAATCTGCTTCGATTTAATTTTTGTAATATAGAACTTTATTAAACATACTCATGCAACCACAGTTCATAATATATATTATATGCACGTATTATATTGTACTCGCATTGTGTACCGTTTTGTTAGTGTCGGGCCATTATCGATATATATATAAATATTATCCCTAACTGCCAAGTGCTAGACAAAATGGGTAGAATAGGTACACGTGTCAAATAAAATGCCAAACGACGATTTAGTTACAAAGACGTATCATATATTTTAAATATGTATAAAATATACTTGTTAAGGACGTCAGGCGCGCGTTAGCCACCCTTCCAGCAAATAATATAATAATATATCTATGCACCTAATTGGGAATTGTTAATTATACGTGTTATTATACACGATACGAAACGTCGTAGTGGTGGTAGCGGCAACGATAATAATGTTAAGACACCGTTTGGGTTGTCGCCACGGCTTAAACCGAACCGCACAGAGTATAGGCACCTACCAACGACGCGCAACGCTACCGCCGCCGTTCCGGATAACACATTAATCGCGCCCGCCCAGTCCGCAAATGTGCTTGTCGACGTCTGCGTTGATATTCGTCAGTGGCTGCGTACGTTCGCACGTCCAGCGTTGGTCCGTCTGGTCCGAGTCCGCTTTCGTCAAATTGTTTTCCATGTGCGATTCGTTGTTAATGTTATAAATTTCAACGCGTACGAGTAACAATTATTACACTTGTGCGCTGTATTGTCGTCTGTGGATAAATCGTGCAGTACGACAAACACCGTTCAACAGCATATAGCCTATATTCCACGTCTTAGTTATAAAACACGCGCCTATCGTAGGATTAAGTGAGTTGTTAAAATTATAATTTATAACCCGCAGTGTCTTTCGATGTCTTATGGGAATTTTCAGGTGTTTTTCGTTACGGGTTAATAAAAATCATTATCCTTCTAATGTAATATTATAGTGTTATACAGACGTGAACAATATAGTTTTATATATTTTGTCTTTGTGCCGTTTATGTTTCCATCGATCGCCTGCCGATTTATACGATCGTGTAAATTATCCTTTCTCGACTTTTCCTTTACATCTTGAATAAAATATTTTTACTCCACTGCATACTAATATTATTAAAAAATTAAAAATTATTTATCTAAATTTTCGGTTATTATAGCTGTTATTATCATCGGATCTCTCTACCTCAAATGAATTGGATATTGGTGCACAGGCTAATTAACACGATCTTTATTTTTTCGTTTAAAAAAATTATAAAGATTATATTAAATGTCAAACTTAGATTTTAAATTCGCATAAATTATGAGCAAATATACAGAAAAGAATATTTTATTTATTCTATAATATTTAGAATAAAATATACAGAAATATAGAATAAATTATATAATAAATATAAATACAATTTACAATCTTATCAAACTTAGTATTTTATTTATAGTATTAATAACAAAGTTGTTTGGATTTAAACTAGACTAAAAACTCATTAATCAAATAACTTATAAATTAACTTAAATAGTTTATTGCTATAGAGCAAATAAAACATTAAAAAAATGAATGCTTATTTAAGTTATTTGAGCTGTTTAACGTTTTATGGCGACTAAATGTTCAAATTAATAGCCGTCTGTTCATCGTATAAGTATGATCGTGTTATCATTAGTATTGCAGAATTATTAATGAAAATTCAACTGTTTATACATTCTATTATATACTAGATATTTAAATTCATTTTTGATACTATAAAGTCGTAAAATCAATTGCTGCGCTACTGGTGGACGCGCGCGCAGTTGCAGAATTTTAAAATGTTATTTTTTATTTTATCGTTTTTTTGCGCGCACGTTGATGGTTAATAATAATAATATTAATTAGTAAATCACCGCGTGACACTACGCGACGCTAACACTTAACCGTTGACGATCGTTTTGGCGCCTCGTCCTAAATATATATTTATATATTATTATAATATCTTCCTATTGTCGCGCGTGCTCCTGTCCCACCCTCGTCTGTAACAGATATGTATATTACATTAGTGCCTATACGTACTCACGTGCCGGATATGCAAATCGTGGTACAGCAGTGTTCATTTATCATAGCCATAATATATTTATATTTTATACATATTATATTATAGCAGCAGTTATATAAGTATAGTATATAAACGCACTTTTATATTATGATGATGAATTGGCCGGAGAGACTACCGCACGTCTTGCATAATACATATTGTACGTAGTAGGTAGGGTAGCCATAGCAGTCTGTTGACGCTAACCGGAAGGAAACCACTGTCCGGTACAAATTAGAATAGTAATAATATATTGTGTGTGCATGTGTATAAAATACGGTTCATTGAGGACACCTCTTATACTAGTAGTCTCAAACAATACAGATAACAGCTAGTTCGGGGGGGAAACGCCAAACGGTAAAATAAATATAGGTACGAGTACCTGGTACGCGCCACTGCGCCAGAGTATATATACTATACGCACACTAAACGGCTCATATTGTCGTCTTGGCGTCTTGTTGTAGTCTTGAACTTTGTATTAGGTGTAATATATTTTATGATGTGAATTAAATGAGAGAGATAAATAGAAATAGTGAGAGATACATCGGAATAATTACGTAAATATTTACATTTCAAAAAATCGTCTGTATTGTTTGATCGCAGGCATGAAATCCGACAGTTTGGACATCGTTATCGTCTCGAGCGGCGACAGCGAAGCCGCTATGATGTGGATTAATTTCCTCATTCAGTGTTTTCAACATTTCAATCAAAAGGAAAACAAATCACAATACAGGTAAATATGTAGTGTATTGTATATAGTATACCTATTTATTATATGCTTTGTACGAGTATGGTCGTCAAAAAGTCTTGTGAAATAATTGCATTGAGATTAATGATTATTATTTATTATATGCACTTACACATGAATTGCTTCAAATTATTTGTCAATGCGTATTAAATCGTTAGCGATTAACAATAATTGGATTTAGGAAATACATGGTACATATTGTATGTATGACTACATATACATAAATACATAATATAGTATACTTAATATTATGTACACTATCTACAAAACCAAAATAATGACATAATATGATAACATGATGTACAAATAATTGTGACGTATAAATTGAATACATGCATGATGTATAATGATTTATTAATACGTATAGTAGAAATATTTAGTATAATATAATGTTATTAAAATTTATTTATGGTTTTTAAGATTAGGTATACTACGTATATATGTATACTTTACTATGTTATTTTAGTGTCATAGAACTATAAAAGAGTATTCATTATACCTACTTATAATATTTGCAGGAATTCTGTGTATTATTTTTTTTTACTTTACACGCGTAATACATTTATACATTTTACATTTTATCGTAATTATACTTATTTTTTGTAAACAGTAATTATTTGTACAATTTTGAATTTTTCTTAATTAATGTAAATCATTTAAAAGTTATTGCAAAACAATTGATGGGTCACTTTTGTTATTAATTACTTTACTTTATTTACTTTCACTATAGAAGGATATCCGGCTATGACTGTTTGAAGTAATACATTTTATATAAATATATATTATATAAATAATAAATATAAAGCCATAACTAACTCATAAAAATATAGCTATTTTCATTCCGATTTTTGATCACTCAAGTTTTGATAATAATGTTAACACTTTGTTCAAATTTTAAATTAGTATATATACTACACAAAACTTTAATTAGGTATTTGTAAATAAATTAAAATCAACTACCGTAAGTTCATAAATTTTAAGAAAGTTTTATATTTTATTTCTCAGTAAATCTATGAACATGCAGAGTATTTTGCGTCACAATATTTCTAAAAACGAATGTTCTTATTATTTGCATGGGTGACTGAAAAAGTTTTCTGTAGATGCTTATTTTTGGAGTATTTCTAGAACCATAGTGACTAATACATTTTCATATTTTAAGTAGGTATTTTAAAAGTTTTGATTCTTGGAATTAAGCTAATGCTTCTATAAGCTAAATAAAATTATTGTTGCATATTTTTGGAATATGTCCAATGGCCAAAGTATAATATCCGTTCGTCCAAAAAGTATTTTTTTTTCAATTAATTTTAATTATTACTCATCATGTTATTTAACGATGGAGTAGGTACGTTGTACTTAATAGGATTCTATTATTTTTTTCCCAAAACGAAAGAATTACGGTAATATTTTAAAATATGTTTAAAATATTATACTTAAAAAAAAAATCCATTTATTTTTACTACGTTTAAAACAATATTTACATATATTTTTTAAATTTTTGTCTCATGTATTTTTCTTTTAGTTAATTTTAATCAAATCTAAAAAATAATTTAATACGCCATAATGGTAATATATCATTTAAAACATTACATTTTTCCTGAAGACGAAGTAAAAACAATATGCGTCTCTAAAATAATGAGTAAAATTACTATTATAATCTTATTAACTTATAAGTTAATCATACTTGTAAGGTATATCATTGACTTACAAGTTATGAGCTATAGTCATTAGCTAAGAGAATCTATCTAATTTAGTTGTTTCTTCTAAACATTATCACAATGACTTAAAAACTCATACAAAATTATTTATTATAAATTTAAATTGATTTATTCCAGAATTCAAAGAGTGAGATTAGAAGATGTGTTGTCTGATGTAATGTCAGCACCACGCCAGGAACGGTGTAGTCAAGCCCGGCTACAGATTGTACTGGTTTGTCCGATATTTTTAGAACGAGTGCTCGCACATACTGGTCGTTCTGATTGTCTAAGTGCATTGCTGCAAACCAATCGTATGTTGGCTTTATTGGTTGGTGTTTCAGAAACCGATGTAACTGATCAACACAAGACCGGTGAGTAACGCTTCACATATTTTTTGGATATATTAATCTACAAAGTTTTTACCGGAAGTAACTAACGATTTTTCACTAAATATTTACAGTAGGTATTTTTTAACAAATAACAACACGCCATAATGCCTACCTATGTATATATTATATTGTTAAAATCAGAATATAACGAAAACTATTTAATCTTAATTGCAGTACTGGTGGACTACGACAAGTGGAGAAAAATGGCCGTGAAAGATCAAGATCGAGAATCTGTTGGTGATTTTTACGGAGTGTCTATGGATATTCTTAGTAAATCGATGCATATTCAACAGGCAATTAGTATACCCGAAGAGGATACAAAATTCTCCATTACTCCCAAAAAGATAAAAATTGTGAGTATACACCTGTCGGCTGTCTGTATACTATATACACGACTATAATAATATTACTATTATATAAAAAGCGTATTTAGTAACTAATCAATTAACTGTTAACAGGGTCAAAATAAACTCATCGTTTTATTATCAGAGCCATTAATATCGGAAGACAATGTTGTAATCACTGTAGACAAAAACGGACACAAAATAGAAGTGACAAACGTGACAAGAAGAAATCCGTATACGCTACAATTTAAAATGCCGCGTTAGTATAAACGCATATTATATTTAAATGTCGATGAAATTAAATATTTAGAAAAAAAAACAACCAATAACCGTATAACATTATTCATTACAGTGAGTTGTTTACAAGTATCTGTCTTGGTAAACGTTATCGTTGAAAAAAATGGTCAGCCGTTGGGCCAACGTTCGGTGAAGTGCGAGAGCCGCATGAGAGAACTAGATCAATTAATACGTTCGTTGGACAATCCATTAAATTTTTTGTGCCAAGTAAGTATAATAAATTATTTATTTTTTTTAATAATGTAATTCGTTATGAACGAAACAAATTATGTGTATTTTCTTTAGACGTTTGGCTTGAACCCCGTCGATAGAGAGCAATTAGATTTGTTTTTGGTCACGGCTTATGTGAAAAATGTTCCGCCCAATTTCCATTTACTTCAACCCGCTGGATCTCGATTCCAATATTGTAAGTTGACAATCGTATTGCGCAATATATAGTACCTAGGCAGAGTGTTTATTAAATATTTTTTCCGAGTTTTCTTAATTTATCTTTACACTTACACCGAATAAACAAGAATTGATTGATTATACACAAATTATTATTAATCCCATTAGATCTAAATTTAATTATATATATTTTTAAATAAATCAAGAGCTACATTTTTAGAATAGAACAAAATTTATTCGATGGATAACAAACCAAATTATATAAACTTATGACAAACAGTGATTTGGTAAATTAACGGTCATAGTTTAAGAATATATAAATTTTCGTTAATTATTAAAAAACGATAAGAGTCGCACATAAGCAATTACATAACAAACATTATATAAACGTACAGTACAGAATATTAATGGAACACAATATTATATATGAGTATTATGATTTCGTATTATTATTTGTATATTTCATGATGTTTATAGTATTACTATTAATAGTAGTATTTTTGTTTTACATACATTTGTCAATTATTCAAAAACCTTTAGTACTACATTTATTTTGTTTGAATTAAAAACCACAACCTATTAATTTCATTAATTTCTTCTTGCCCCACAACACAAAAAAAACTAAAATTTCATACTTACATTGTTATTATATTTAAAATCATTGTTTTTATTGTTATTAGTAACAGGGTAGCCTCATACTAACCAAATTCACAAATTAAGAGTATATATATTTATTATTTATATTATCACGACTAGATATAGGTAGGTACTATGTAGACTTTGGTGAAGACATTTTTTCTTGACTTTTTTTATCAAAAATTATTTACCGATGTGAAACATCAATAATAATAAATATCACTACTTTTATATACATGCTTTGAATCGTCGTTAAAAATGAAAATTTGGGAGGTCCTTAAAATTCGAATACTTAGGTATATATAATATATTCTATAAGGATGTCTTTGGACGGTATATACCTGTGCAGGGCCCGCACTTTGTCGTAAATCGTAACGTCGTATATATTTTAGGCGTACTTATTATATTTTTCGTTTCGATCATGCAGGTCACGAGGAATATCCGACCATGTTGCACTTTGCCGCCAAACACGGGCTGGAGAAACTGTCGTGGCACTTGCTGGAGAGCCCGGGCGGCGAACAGGCGTGTCAGCTGCGGAACGCGTCGCAGATGACTCCCGCGGACGTGGCCGAGGCGTCCAACCACCAAAAGCTCGCCCAGGCGCTGCGGGCGTACGTGCAAATGACCGAGCTGACCAGCATGTACAGCATACTCAAAGGCATATCGGACGGACACCACCACCAGCAGCCGGCTGGCGGCGACGACCCGGACGCCAACTACATGCTGCCACGGCCTCTCAACGACAGCTATCTGGTGCCGCCCGCGCCCAGGCCGGTGGCCGAGCAGCCGACTACTGCGGTCCATCCGCAGCAGCAGCAGAACCACGGTTACACGAACGTGGGCTCGCCGCTCACGTCCAACGCGACCATGTTCAACTATCAGATACCTCCGCCGCCGCAGTCCATTTTCGCCACCAATTACCAGGTGCCCACCAACGGCCGGCCGTACAGTCCGGCGGGCGGTTCGTGGTCCCCCACCCATTCGGCGGTGCCTTCCTCGCCCGTCGACCCGGCCCCGTCGCCGTTGGGTTACTTGGAAATGAGCTCCAACAGTGAGTACCTACCTACTCGTATACCCGTCGGATATGAATTCGTGTACGCTAGCAGGGCCTTCGATGTTGCGCGTGCCCTTGAAACGGAAGGGAGGTTTTTGTGTTTGTTGAGTATTGATTTTCGTAAAAAAAAATACCACATATTGATACCGAATACTGATGATGATCGCCATCGGATCATGACGATAATTATTATAATAATGTTGAATGATTGAGCACAAATGCAATATTACCGGGCACACTTTATTACCTATATAATAATGTCCTATATTATATCTCGTCGCGTCAGTTACAAAATATTTTATGCGAAAACAGCAACCTATTTAAAAATTATTTATACCTGTCTCAAGTTTGTGATTTTAGAATTATAATATGTAACTGCTATTATACAGGTGTTCCGACACTCTGTGAACGTCAGTGACGTAAATTGGAGTTGACAAAAGCTCGCGTAATACCTTAAAATAAGACCTAATTGTGCGTCTGTAGGTTACACCTGTACGTGTAACGGTTTAAAAATGTTTTGTTTACCTTGTGTTTTTTTAAAACTTATACCACTATTTAGGGCTGAACTATTTACATTTGACTAGATCCCCGTACAGTATTGTTTATTGATAACAACAAAATACATCGATCATAATTTCATTTGGAAAACTGAAGAAACTGATTTCTTAAGTATTTGGCTAGTGTATACTTGCAGTCAGTGGCGCCGAGTTATATAAACTTTAGTCAAACAAAATCAAAATATTTACATACCTACCCACCCACCACTGAAGATGTTAACATATATTATGTTAATATCATATTATTTAAACATATATAAGAAGCGATTGCTTCAGTTTAAGTATAGGTTCGGTGTTACTGTTCGCAATCTTCAGAGCCCATTGAGCGATTTGCATATTAGAGACAAGCCCGGAATTTTCATTATAACATACTTAATAGTCAGTCTGAAAACACGTTTTTGTCTTGTCTCTTCTCAATTCATCATCCTAAATTTTATGTTTTCGGGTTCTGTTCTCTAGCTGACTTATTTATCCTTTAAGTTCATTGAAATAGTTTTTCATAGCAACTGAAGGTGGTTTTTGATCTGGAGGCGCCTAGGAACGAAACGCAAAGTGTCGATCACTATAAATGTACTTTTTTCCATCTTAAAATACGTTTATATTTGTATTTTCTATGTATAAAGTTATGTATTTAAATAATCATAACCTCAAAAATATTAATTTTCACAAATGTTGTTTTTCGCCAATATTTTTAAAATGTTGATTTTCCTAAGGTTCAGAAAAAAAAAAAATTACAATAAAAACTGTGCTTGGTAATGTGTATTTGTTTCTATAGTTAAAATTTATAAATGTTAACTCAAATATGATGATATCTATATATACTTTTGTATCATTGCATATTTTATGATAATAACTTTTTCTTATGCAATTTTTAAAATATGCTTAAAAAATATGCATTCTGAAATAATTCAAACGTCATCAACATCCGGGTCCTAAAATAGCTAAGTAGATTATTAATCATGTGGTTATAGTTTAAATAGTTAAATCGGGCTTAAAAATTGTATTAAAAATCTTCCGGTAAAAAATTCTAACACTATTACACCAGAAATATTTAAACTGGCGTTGATTTTTTAAATCAACTCCCTTATGGGTAAATAATTATAACTGATTTACTTTATTCGTGTTTTATTAAAGGTCTGGGATCTGCCAATTATTTGCGAGGAAATCTATCGTTAAACGATAGTATCATTAACAAATCAACTGGCAATAGATCTAACGATTTTTCGATTTCTAGTTCTCGTGGTATGCATTTTTTTTTTTAATTAACCATTTAAATTTTGAAATGTACTATAAATTTTTTTTTCGAATGCAGGCAGTAATCAAATGTTATCTACGCCTCAAGATGAGCTATTGGAAATTATACACGATTTCAAAAATAACGTTCTAACCATTAACGAGGTGGAAAATCTAGTCGAAACGTGGAAAAACCGAAATGACGTGCAACAGTCTTTCAAAGAGAAACAGGTAAACAGATGATTCAGGCTAGTCATTGATGATCATGTAAATACATTTATAATAATATAGGAGCAATTAAATCAAATGAGAAATGAATATGATCGAATACAACAACGGATGAAAGATCAATTGAAACGACCTACTCCGTTCGATCGCATCAAAAAATTCTTTGGCAAAAACAAATCAAAACGTAAGAATCTTTTGTTTTGTAATGTATTAATACATTATCCTTTAAAACTTACTTAAATATGTATTATTGTTTATCAAATGATTACTCAATGTATTGTCTAAAGTAATCAAATTAAACGTTAAAAATATATTTACAGATTCTGAAATTTCACAAGAAAACTTGACGAAAAGAAGTGGTTCAGAACATCATTCTAAAAGACCATCTAGTAGTCTTAGTCTACAAAGTTCAAGCAGTAAGTTATTTAATAACGTTAATTTAAATAATTTATCCGTAAAAAAATGTCTAGAACTAATGGTTATGCATAATAATAACAGGTTCTACTTCTTGTGGTCGATCTAGTACTGTAAGCACAAGCAGCGTGAACGACAACCATACAATCCAACAGGATATCTTGGACGACGGAAAGGTAATGTAAAAAAATAAATAAATAAATAAAATAAAATTATGAACAGGTGAATTGCGTTTAACTATAAACTATGTTTGGATTCTTCTGATTTGTCTGTAGTTTTTTTTTTTGTACATTTAATTTTTTTTTACATGTTGATATTTTTTACTGTCGAAAAAATTTGTCATGTTTTATTTTAAAACTTCCAATACTCCCATCTTTATTTGTTGACCAAAAATCAATTTTTTTTATTTAATATATTTTCATCGGGAGTCATATTAGCAGCATAGTATGGACATTATATTTTGACCAGCCCATCGTTATCCAGTAAACCATTTGGAATAGCTCCTAAAAATAAATGTTTTGTATCTACTCGTATAAAAATACCACAGTCACGTATAGGCTTGTTTAAAATCTTTTCTAATTCTATTTTAGCAACAACATTCTCATGTTCATAATCTAAAGAATAAAGATAGTGTCATTATTTGTGTATTGCATAAAAGATTTAAAAATATTTTCACAAACACAGTATCTGGGCATCGAGATATATCCGAAGTTAGAATTATAAATCCTTTGTGCTTTTTTTTTTGGATAGTGAAATTTTGGATATTGTATATACCTTGGACTTATTATAAATATTAAAATATTTTAATGATATCGTTTAAAAATTCGAACTTAACCAGATGATGAATAATCATAAACATAATGCTAACATTTGATAGCAGAGGACAATAATTAAAAAATATAATTAAATCTACCTAGATATCTAAGAAATATTAAACCAAAATATAAATATATCATGCATTTACTATTACGTATTATCATTAATACGTATAACGCGTTATCTAATTTTTCTAGGAAGGCGAGGGCGCGATGATGTGTAATATTTTATACTTGTGGTAGTGGTACAAAGAGATATCGTGTGTACATGTACATAGTAATTTTGAAATCGCCCCCCCTCCCCGAAAAAAATGTTATTTTTTCACTCAAACAGATAACTATCTAGTTTCAACATTATATATCGCAACGATTCTTTCGATTTGCATTTTGGTAAAATATTCTTATTTTTTACAACATGTACGAGAAATTGATCGAAGTACATTTTTATAATTTATTTAGTTGATTAAATATTTAAGTTTAAATTGTTGAAAATTTATCGATAAATAAAACACACATTTATGAGGCCCATAATAATTAGAAATCACCAATAATTGATAAACGTATTATACCACCCACCCATCCGACAGTTTTAGTGTATTCAATATTTTTGTAATTTACTCTGAAATGCTCATTGAGTATCGCTAAATGCATTTTTTACCGTTTCGATTTTAGCCTTTGAAGTCGTCTTTCTCGTACTTCGATCAGCCACATTCGTTCTCGACGTTCCTTCAGCAGAGCAGCAAAGCGACTGTCGACTTCGCGGGTCACGATTACGGCAACGTCGTGTACTCACCCGTGGGTTCAGCGACCGCTGAAACTATCATGGAAGAGGAAATTGATATGCCGTCTTGTAACGCTTCCCAGGCGCTTGGCGCTTCAGCCCTCCGGTGCATGACCGGAATCGCTTGCACGATCGCCACTTCACCTACGACGGCTGAGAAGTCCGAACACGACGAGGCAGCCGGATTTGAGCAGTCTTATAGCGGAGGTGGCGGCGGTGGCTCTGTTAGCGGTGCCGATTTCGAAAACGTCGAAGACAAGGTGCAAAGGCTGTTCGACAACATGCCGGACTACACGAACGTCACAGTTTCTGATCAAAACTCTCGCAAATACGCGCCATTGCAGACGTAAACGCAAAATCCGTGTACGGCTACTCGCCACCGAATTAGTTTCGCATCTTCCCATATGAATCTAATATTTATACTATACCGTTAATGGGTATAATATAATGATGTAAATAATATTATATTTTTGTTGTGCTGGACTATGAGATTTTAAGGATCGATAGTACAATATTTTCTAGCCTATCGAAATCTGTGTATATTGTAATATTAATTACAATACATATAATAAGACATGATGATTTATATATTAATTAATATTAAAATATGTTTAAATAAGTTTTTACGATACGTTTTATACGTAACGGACTGGATAGTGATAATATATTATTAAATATTTTTATACTGGTGACTAAGGTTAATAACATTTAAAATTTGAGGTTAAACATACTAGGCGTAATACATCCAGCAAAAATGTGTAAATATGTGCGCGCTCCAAAAATTAAAAATTGAGCACTCTGAAGTTTGAACGTTGTATATCATTTTATTTGTGAACCTATAATATTGTTATTTATATGTTATAATTTTTGTTTATATTTTTACTTCTTGAAATAAACTTTTTTTTAATAAATATAAATATATATAATCATGTGTTTTAAATTATAAGCAGAGCTATAAATTAATCGATTTTACAATGGTATTTGTTTTTCTTTTATATCTAAAAACACTTATTATGAGCAGAAAAAACAATTCATTTTAAATATTAAGCACAATTTCTAGTACCTATAACATAGGTTAAAGTTCTGAATCTAGGAGTTCAAAAGCAGAAATGCTCAGTACATTTTTAAAAATAATATAGAAAAAATATTTATTTTTTTTCTTGAAAAGAATAGGTTAGGTTAAACTAGCTGACCCGGCAAACGTTGTTCTACCATAAAAATGATTACTGTGATAAATTTTGTAATAAACTTGGTCTTTGACTTTTAATGTTAAATTCAATTATAGAACATTGGAGCAATATTTTAAACTATTTCTGTTTCTCTGAATGATGTCATTTAGAAAGATGAATTACATGTTAACATTAACTTCAGGAATAGAGATAAGAATAAAGATCATCACCGATAAGTAAACTGTTTAATGGTTAAAGTGGATAAAAAACAAATTTGGATATAAGTGACTTTCGATTTTTACAAGTAAAACCGCCCAAAAATAACGGTGGGCCATTAAAAAAAAAAATGTTCCACAATTGTTCGTCTTTTGTGCTAATAGTTTCAAGCACCGTTTCTAATGATGGATATGAAATTGGAATGTGAAATCTTTATTCCATAGATATCGCATGAAACGTGTTTTTCAAAACGGTTTTAAGGCTTCGATGTTGTTAGAATTTCGAAAATCATATTTTCATTACATAATAATGTAGAGCAATTTCATCATATTTGTTAACTCAAACGCACTTCAACATCCTACTACCTCAAATTTAGTGATTTTGATTTTTACAAATAAAACGATCAAATACGGTGTGTCATTAAAAATGTTTCACAATTGTTCGTTTTTTGTATAGGTTTCAAGCACCGTTTCTAATGATGATATGAAATTTTGAATGTGAAATCTTATTCCCTAGATATCGCATGAAACGTGTTTTTCAAAAACGGTTTTTAAGGGCTCTTACAGAATTTCGAAAATCATATTTTCATTACATAATAATGAGCGACACCATTTACATCATATTTGGTTAACTCAAAAGCAAATTTCAACATCCTCCTACCTAAATTTATGACTTCGATTTTACAAGTAAAACGCCAAAATACCGGTGCATTAAAAATGTTTCACATTGTTAATTTTTGTTATAGGTTTCAAGCACCGTTACTAATGATGGATATGAAATTAGAATGTGAAATCTTTTATTCCCTAGATATGCATGAAACGTGTTTTTAAGCTAACGGTTTTATGAGCAATGGTCACGTAACTGAACGAAGTACTTA